TTACAGCATGAGCCACCATGTCCAGCCTCCTGACACCCTTTTTATTACTGGAATTCATCTTTAAGGTCTGACAATAATATGGAAGGCAATAAACTCCCTCTGCCAAATTTTTATGGTTAAATATTGAATAACCTATTTTGTTTTATACATTCGTTTATTTCTGTACTTGTTTTCCAAAGATTTTTTTCGTTTCTGACCTTCATTGCATTTTGAGAAAAAAACTGTATTGGCTATATTCAGTCTCCAGCAGTGTATTTCTCTGTTGAATTATCTTATAACTTAAAATTGGGCTCCAGAAGAAAGAGAATAAATTCCATATTTATTCAAATTAACTCTTAAATTATTGTACTTAAACATCCCTATTTCAGAAATAGTCAAGAACTCTCCCTGAGAAGGAGGTCCTATAAAAAAATCTAAAGTGAGTAAAGAAAAAAGGAAATCTGCATTAATTAATTTGTACTTAGCTGTGTGTATGGAAATGAAAATGGCAGCAAGCCAGGTTATAATCAAGGATAGAACACTGTCCCCTTTTTATTGTGACAATAGAGAAAACTAGTTAGCCCTCCAGGAAATATTCGCAGTAAGTTTTGGTGAGATTTACTGAAATACTATAGCCAGGTTACTGTCAACAAATGTCTCACGAGGTCACCTTTGATAAAAATGTTGAGTTTGCTCAACACTGTTATTGTGTTCCCAGGGAAGATTTATGACCTGAGCAGTAATGTGCTCCTGGGAGGGCAAAGCTCCAGGCAGGTTAAGGGGCAGTGCAGTCATATAGGACTGGAAGTGCATACCTCATGGTCTAAGACTTTCTGTGCCAGACTTTTCTCCATTGCCATATTATTATTTTGTAATTTTTCTTTTTGTTATTTTTCTCTAAACTCTTTTTTGGAGGGGGTGGGAGGAATCTCACTCGTTGCCCTGGGTAGAATGCTGTGGAGTCATCATCGTAGCTCACAGCAACCTCAAACTCTTGAGCTCAAATGATCCCCCCGCCTCTGCCTCCTAAGTAGCTGAGACTACAGGCACCCATGATGCCCAGCTAGATTTTCTATTTTTAGTAGAGACGGAGTCTCACTCTTGCTCAGGCTGGTCTCCAACTCAAGCAATGCCCCTACCTCAGCCTCCAGAGTGCTAGTATTGCCATATTCTTCTCAGTCACTCCTCTATGCCTGCTGAATTTGGTGTCCCTCCTGCCTGGAATGAGCTTTCCCTCCTCTTTACATAGTGAATTCCAACCTTCGAGATCTAGATTAACTGCCACCTCTTCTGGGAAGTCTTCAAACTTAGATTTACCCTCTTCTCAACTTTTGACTCAAGGCTCCTTGTACTTCTCTGTATTTTACTACTCAACACATTGTGGTACAATTATTTGCTTTTTACTCAAAGTACCAGAATGAAAGCTCGGAGACAACAAGGGTAGTGTCCATTTTGTTCATCTGCTGTATCCTCAGGCTGTAGGGTAATGCCTGGAACAAATGAGCCAGATAAATATTTGTTGAATGATCCACTTCTTAGTATGTACAGACAGGGGAACATGGTTGGGAGGAAGGAAACAAGATAAACCAAACATATGATCCAGTTATGAGGACAGACATAGGAAGACGTGATAAGCATTGGGATTGCAAAGAAGAAATAGGCATTGAATTAGACAGATGCTTACATAGGTTCATAGAAGCCATTTAGATATCGTATGGAAGTATGAAATGATGAGAAATCAGTTGCATGTCCACATTTATCAAAAGAGAGAAGTCTTAAGGGGAGAATTTAGGGAGCAGGAAAGAAGAAATTTAGGCTCAGTGGAAGGAAGGTATCATGATAAAGAAGGACATATTTTCTGAGGAAAACAAGCAGACCATTTATGGAAGGAAATTCTGGGCAATGAAGTTGAGAAGATAAACAGAGGGCTTAGAGCTCAGCCACCAGTAGTGTGACTTTGAGCAAGAAAGACACTTACCCTTCGTGAGTCTCGGTTTCCTTATTTGCAAACTGACAGTAATAATTAAGTTTTACTGTTTCACAAGGTTGTTCTGAGGACAGAAGCAAGTCAAGATGTTTCGGACATTGGCAGACAGACATAAGCATTAAGAAATAGTAGAGTATGAATTAAGATATACCTTATGGTTTAAACTATAGAGGAAAAATTCTGGAAGAAAATGTATCCAAATTAACTGCACTTTCATTACAGTGACAGGACTATGACCTATCTCCCTCCCCCACCCCACACATGTAATTTTCTCTATATTCCAAATCATCCCTGAATAACATGTTAATTAAAAATGCATTTTATTCAAAAAATAAAACAGATGCTGATAAAATACAAATGGACTTAAGAAACACGGTCTGATTTCTCCAGAAGCTCACATTTTAACATGTAGAGACAGACACAAAGCAATGTAGATACATAAGATAATTTTGGATAATAATGGCTACAGGAATGATGCAGGGACAGGGAAGGTGTTCCATTAGATAGAGGGTCTCCTCTGTATGAGGAAAGCAGAGAGCTATTTCAGCAAAGACTTGACATGGTGAACCGATGCCAAGACCTACATGTGAGTTGTGGGAGAATGTCCCAAGCAGTGGGATAGGCAGCTGCAAAGGCCATAAGCAGAATGAGCTGTCTGTGTGCAAGGGACAGAGGGAAAGAGACTGTGGCCGGAACAGAGTGAGCAGGGTCAGAAAGACGCACAAGGGCCAGATCATAGAAGATCTTTGAAACCATGGTAAGGACATTGGATTTTCCTCTCAGTACAATGGCAAGACTTTGAAGTATTTTCAACAGAGGGATGAAACAATCTGCATTACATTGCCTAATAATATAGTCTACATGTGTGTATACATGTACAAACTGTAGGCGTCTAACAGATCTGTAGAGACACATGTAAGTGTATTGTATACACCCACATGTATAATAACTGCTAGGTGATAAAATGAGCTCCATCACAGTTTCATGTATTTGATCTGAAGTTTAAATTCACTGGGGGAAAAGATGACATCATTGTCTACATAGACACGTGTATTCTTTCCAAGATTACATATTTTATTGTATTTTATTATTACTATTATTTTTTAGAGATAAGAGTCTCACTTTGTCACCCTCAGTAGAGTTCCATGGTGTCACAGCTCATGGCAACCTCCAGCTCTTGGGCTTAGGTGATTCTCTTGCCTCAGCCTCCCTAGTAACTGGGACTACAGGTGCCCACCACAACGCCTGGCTATTTTTTTGTTGTTGTTGTTGCAGTTTGGCTGGGGCTGGGTTTGAACCCACAACCCTGGGTTTATGGGGCTGGCACCCTACTCACTGAGCCACAGGCACTGCCCAAGATTACATATTTTATAAATGTGGGAAGTTTGGTATCATCACCTCAAGTTATTGCTAGTATGTGAACAGTTTATAACATGTTTAAAATGGCACTGACTGAGTTGTGCATGAGAGGGTAAAGGTAAACCGTTGATCAGAAACACCAGTATTCTGAATGCTAATTCTGGTCCTCTGCTTAATTTGCTACATTATTTTCTTTTGTATTTTCTTTTTAATTTTCTATACAAAAATACAAAGGAGCAGTGGTGCATATGAAAAATAGATATTAAAGAGAAAAATTGCAAATGCTGAGCTAGGTAGATTTTGCTACAGAGTACTTCAAAATTACTATTTGTTCTTCTCTTCCTGGCAGCACATATTTCTAAGAAATAATGAGCTGAGCTCTCTTGAGTGAACAAATGCCCAATAGAGTGATTTTGGCAGTTAGAGAGGCACGTTAACTACTTCAAGTCTCAAAAGCTTCATCATTGACTTCATTATTCCTCTGGAGCACTCTGATGACTCTCCTCCCAGAAACGTGGAAGCACAATGGGAAAGGAAACTGCTTTTTCCGGCCTTTTAATGCCTGAAACAATAGACTTATGAAATATTGTGCACTTTCAATGCTGCTCAGAAAGTGGGACATTCCTTCGTGAATGCACATATTAATGGGGCTTTGATGTCAATTTTAAAGAGTCCATTCTGTCTTCAGTGTCTGCAAAGATAAATACTTACCTTATGCAGCATGAAGCATAGTCCCCATCTCCAGAGAGGGCATTAGTAACCAGACGACCCTCTTTCTCTGGGATGAAGGACTGGGAGCTTTAATGCTGTCTGCATCAGAGAAAAAATATAATCACCCTTACTCTTTTTCCCTCATTCCTTTTCCATCCGAGACAAGAATTTTCAAAAAATCTATCAAGTTATTATCTTTCTTGGTCTTTATTCTGTGTTTTTTCAAATGATTATCATTTTTTGATCATTTAAAAGGAAGCATCAAAAAGTAAAACCACTTTTGACTGTTCCCACTGGAATTAAAAAAAGATAGGACACCTTTCTCTCCATTTTCATCCTCAAAAATGATCCCTTCTCAAAGAAAATAGTACAATTTTCAAGGGGCAGTGATTTTCTGACCTTCTTTGATGTAGTCATCCAGTCCCTTTCAACAGATGTTTTATATGGAGTCCATGTCGAAATCTTCAAGGGGATTCAGAAGAAAGAGATAATACCCTTCAGCCCCTGCCCTTGGGTGGCTTAGAGTCTTCCTGTATTAGGAAGAACAAATAGAACTCACATTACATAAGAATATTTAGAGGTAATATAGTGGTTTAAGAGTTCAGGCTGTTGAATAAGCCAGCCTTGTGTTCAAATCCTGCCCTCATCCTTACCACTTTCCAGCTGTGAGATACACTGACCTCCTGGGACCTCAAAATTCTCTTCAAAACAAAGATAATATTAGTAACCATCTTCTAGGAATGCCATGAGGATGGGTGAGATAATGAATCATGTATATAAAGTATTTATCAACATCTCGGTGTCAGAGCTCCAAATAAGTATTTAAAAAGCGGTAGCTATATTTCATGGTGAACACAATAAGCATAATTATTAGATCAAGGAAGTTGCTGTGAAGTAGCCTTTGAGAATTATATTACATACTTCTATTTGCAAATCATAAATACATATTATGTTTTTCCAATAGGCATTTTACATTGCTGTTTGGCGTACAATGTTGGTCTTCCAGAAGCAAAAATATTTTCTGGCCCTTCAAGTGAGCAATTTGGTTACGCGGTACAGCAGTTTAAAAATCCAGAAGGCAACTGGTAAGAATATTCTTTTCTTTATAAAAATGAAATAAAAATACAAAATGAATTTCATATTTGACTATAATTTCTTTTTCGAGTTGGTATTACTAGTAATGGCTAGCCTTCAAATATCTCTATTAAGACCAATCTTTCTTTGAGAGTTCACAACTTCTGATTGGTAATTAATGGATTAGTAATTAATGGGATGGTATACAATTTTAAAAACTTGGATGAAAAATGTTCACTAAATATTCCAAAGCAAATTCCTAATACCAGTTTTTACCACTTAGGTATATGGGTAGGTAGGTAGACACGGAGATAGTGATAGATTTGTCTTCATTTCTTGTGTAAACTGATATTTGTAAATCATCGTCTTGCTGATTCCTAGATGGTAGGATTATCATCTGGGCCATTTCTAGATGGCAGAATTGCTTCTTAAATTTTCTCCTTCATCAAGGCTTTGTGTTCTTGCTTCATTCTAAGTTATCCTTCCCCATTCTACATGGTCAATAATTCACAAGTGTCAATGTAAAATTTACAGGGGTGACTTTTTCTAGTGTATTTAGCACCTTTCATTTTTTTTGCCTAAAAGTTCCCTCTCTTTTAATGCTGTGCAATTATTACATTTATAAACCATGGCCATTCTACTCAAGTAAAAACAACCACCTTGATGGACATGGAAATATATATCCCCAGTTCAGGTTTAAGTTTCCCATAGAATAATGCAGATAAATTCAGGGAAATGAGATGATTCTGAAAGTTGTACGTAGGGAGAAGAACCGTGGCTCCTCTTC